AGAGTCTTGGTTGCCCCCAGCCCCACATGGAGGGGACCAGGAGAGTTGCATGCTGGGGTCCAGGCTGCTGCTGCCCTGCCACCTGCAGCCCAGGGACCGTGTGCCCCAGTTACGCAGCCCACAGTGATGAATCCACCGCGAACCGCTGCAGCTCAAAGGCAGGTTCTTTCCGTCAGCTTCGCCGTGAGCATCTCCCTTTGCACGCACCATGAATCCCGAGGGGGATTCTCCAGGGTTGTGACCACTGCCCAGGCAGGGAGGGGGCGGGGGGCCAGTTCCCACCAGCCTCTGAAATGCCAGGGGACGGGATGGTCGTGCCAGGACTGGTGCGCTGGCCACGTGCTTCTAAAGGAAAAAGCGTTGGACCCATCATTCTGGAATGCCCTGCATCCCATCATGCTCCCACCCAGTCTTCCTCGGCTTGCACTGGAAGGAGTAGCTCATTCTTCCCCGCGCGCTGCAGGCCAACTCCACCTCCCCGCAAGAGACGGTCGCATGCCACTCCCCTCCAAGCCAACAGGCGCTGGCCGGCCTCCAGGGAGTGGCGGTGTGGTGATTCCAGCCCTCCCCCAGGGACCTGTCAGAGGAGGAGCAGTCAGCGGGGCCCGTGTCGGAAAGAATAGCCAGAGTGGTCTGCGCTTTCGGCTGGATGGAGCGAGGGGCTGGCGAGGCGGGTGCAGCCGGCCAGCAAGCTGCACAAGCAGAGAGGTGTCACTCAGGCCCGGCCCCTTCTGCCCGCTGGATGGAGCGGATGCAGAGTCCTGGCGTCGGCGGTCAAGGTGCCATTCCCTCCACCTTCCGTAGCAGCCTTTGTCCCGGCCTGGTTCGTTTCCCAGCTCGGGGCTCTGCCTTTTCCCATTGCGAGGAAGAGCTGCTTCGGGGCTAGGCACTGGCAAGACGCCCACCCTGCGTCAGCACTTTCACCCCAAGGTTGGCGAGAGTTCGGTTTGATGGTTTTTCCTTCCTACGGCTGTTCTGCTTTTCCGTCTCCTGGTACCAGCCAGCAATGACCCAGGGCCGGGATCCCAGCATCCAATCAGCAGCAGGAAGCACTGGCAGATTCAGGAACCTTCCAGCCCAGTCTGGAGAGTCTCGGCGTCGGGTGCTCCTCGGAACCAGCCCGCAGCGCCGCCGTGGCCTGGTGGGGGCATGGCTGCAGGCTTTAGCATGCCGTGCTCTGGCCTCATCTGCGTAACCCTTTGTACCGCAGGAGCCTTTCACCCCCGGATGGCCCCTGCAAGCTGGGAGGCAGGATGGGGCTGCCCACGTGGTACCGCTCCGAGAACAGACAGTTTGTTCTCCCGGGCTGGGATCTGGCCAATGCTGCCAGCCCTGACAAGAGGAAGCGAGTCAGAGCCTAGTTTCGGAAGGTGATAGAAGCCAATTTGGCCCATTAGCGCTAATCTCTCCTCGGAGGTCCAGGAACGGGGGCCAGGCGGCGTTGGTAGGGCTGACGTGCGGGCCCAGGAACAAGACCAGGGCATGCTGGCTCCTGTCGATTAGCGAATCAAACACGGTCAGACGTGCAGGGAGCAGGGCGAGCACCCAGCGTGCGTTTGGATAGCGCCCCCAGCTGCGAATGGCAAGCAGAGCAACCACCCAGGCTTGCATGTCTGGAGACCCCTTTGGTTAAAGGAGCAAGCGTGTAGTGCAAGACACACCCAGCCTCTGTTGGCCTGGGTCTTCGTGGTGGGACTCCAGCAGCACTGGGCCCTTTGGTGCAAGAAGGGCAGGGCAGCTTGGATTTGGGCCTGGAAGGGTTAACGGTGCCCAGTTCCGCGTCGCCTGTGGTCATTGCGTTGCTGTTTGGAGCTGGCAAAGCCAGCCATGCTCACCCACTGGCTATTAACTGGCCCCAGCTGGAGGGGCTAGCGCCTGCTCTGGTCTTCCAGGCAGCGGCGCGGGCTGCATTTCCCCCGTTGAGCGGAGTGGCCTGCAGGCTCGGCTCAGCCGGGAGCATTGCCCGAAGCTCCTCGGGTTGGATCTGAGGCCGGCTCTGCACCGTGTGTGTATCTGCTCTCGTGTGCCTCCCCCCGAATCCAGGCAACGCATGGCCAGGGCGACGCTGCAGGGAGCTCGGGCCAGACGGGGCGTCTCCTTCGCGCACTCGCCTGTTCCACCACCAGCCACACGACTTTATTCTTACTAGCAGGTTTCCCCACTGCCGCTTGGCCCTTAACCCCATTCATTTGGGGCTGGAGGGTACCATGAAACTGGCCAGGCTTCATGTGAACTGCTGCTCTGGGAGGAGGGGTCAGGACAAGGCTGCCCTGGGGAGGGGACGACCCAGCCCCCTCGTACCGCAGCAGCTTGGGGCCGGGTGAGAGGTGCCGCTCCATGGCTGCTGCAGCTCATGCTCGTGTGCCCCCCGCGCTCCCCAGCCAGAGTGAGCAAAGCAGCAAACTGGGCCCTTTCCAAGGGAATAGCCAGCCACCTCCCCATACGAAGCTGAGGGGAGGGCTTCAGAGTACCCGAATGTGGGGGCTGGGGAAGTCCAGGAGGAGGGAAGGTGCTTTCTCAGCCAGCCCCTTAAACCTGCCTGCTGGTTTTGAGAGCAGCAGCCCCACTGTCCTGGCACAGCCAAGCCCTGGCCTTGCTTGGAGCTACAGTAAGAGGAAGCTTCCTTCGGAATGTGGTTCTAGGAGTTCTTAACAGGCAGACTGTCCCAGCTACAGAGCAGCAGTGCGGGGCCTAAAGGCCCTTCACCCGGTACTGCCAGAGCGGGGCTGGCTTTGGTGTGCGCAGGGTCCCAGACTTTACAAAGGGGACAGTCTCCTGAAAGGGGCGTTGCCCCTGCTGCGTTCAGACCCAGCAGCTAGGGAAGGGAGATTCCCCTTTATATGCAGGTTTGCTTCCCCGAAGAGACGCAGGGGAGTCGGGGGTGGCCAGGACTTCTCCAGGCACGGTCACGTGCAGATGGCTTCATGCCCGGAAGTCCTGCTGAGCTGTCAGCCCGTACCGCCCTCACTCCCCTCTGCTTCCGGGGCGGAAGAACTGAACCTGTTAAAGGGAATCTCCCCTCCCAAGCTGTGCACGGGAAGGGGACTGGATCCCCAGCAAGCTAGTGGTTTGCTGCCCCGCAGGAGCAGCTGGGCGGTTGGTTTGTGCAGGCTGAACGTGCCGCGGCACCCCGTGAGATCCGAGAGAGCACGTCTCTGTCATGGAGGGTTTGACCGTTCCCAGGCACGGAGGGGGCGAAGCGATGTCACCGCCTCGGTCGGGTCGTTTTCCCCGTCAATCCCAGAAGCCCTCACCACCTGAGTCTGGTCTTGCGCTCTGCCGGGAGTCTGCGATTCCTGTGATGGACTCCTCTGTGGCTAGCCTGGGGCCGCAAGACCTGGGTTCTTTTCCCAGCTCTGCCACTGACCTGTTGGATGTCTTTAGACCAGTCAGGCTCCCTCTCTGCCTCCATTCTCCCTCCCACGCTGTATATCTTGCCAACCTGGATCATTAGCTCTCGTGCTCCTACAGTGCGTCACATATGGGGCCCTGATCTCAGTGGGGCTGCCAGGTGCTACTGCAGTCGAAATAATCTGTCATCCAAGATGGTTCCTGTCCCATTGCTCCTTGGGTCTGACATCAACTTTCCCCTTTGTGTGCTGCAAACTTCTTCACAGCTGATAGTCTCTTTGCTGCAGGCACAAGGATGTAGCGGCTTGGGTTACCTGCCAGTCGCTGAAGTAATCCTGGGGGGATCCCCTCGTGTCATGAACTTTGTAATGTCTCCTGGGAGTTGTCTGCTTTCATGCTGCTACATCCCGACTGTTCTGAGCGCGTCTGCACCTGGTGATCTTTGTGCAGGCTGCCTGCATTGTCCATAAGGGGACAGGTGAATCGGGGAAACAGATCGACAAAACACATGAGGCTGGTGGGAAAGTGGCCTGGGTCTAGCGGAAACGGCAGCTGAACCTTTGCCACGGCTCTGAGATAACCGCGTGTGCTTTCTCTGCCTGTGTCTGTGCAGAGCTGCTGACAATTTGTCAGGCTCCTGGCTTTACACTGCTGCTCCTGGCAAGGAACTGCTAATGATTTAATAGCTTGTCAACACCTCACAGAGAAACAAGGGCTGGCACTTCCTGGTTCCATATTTTCTTTGCTTTAAATAGGAACGGAATTGAGGGTGGTTTATTGCTCCTCCAGGATACAGCGCAGCACAGATGTGATCTGGTTACAGGAACTGGGGCTAAGAGGCCTCAGTGCCCCCCTTGAGATGGGGGAGTCCCAGCCCCCTCCCCAGCTCCTTCTCCCCTGCTTTCCAGACAGGAACTAACTCACTCTCCTCCAGCCTTGCCCCCCAGCCAGGGCAGCATTCCCCCTTCCTTTGTTTCTCCCCATGGGGGGTGGCTGGTCAGACCAGTTTGGAGCCACCTTTGCATAATGACTCACCCTTTCCCTGCTGGGTCTTGCTACAGACAGCAGAGGTCGCCACAGCCCTAGCAAGGCACCCCCACTACGTCACAACGACGCATTGGGGTTCCCCTGACTCCTGCACCCCCGTAATGGCACGAACGGACTCCGCCAGCCAGTAGAACAGAGGGAGTTTATTGCCTCTCCAGGACACAGCACAGCACAGATGGAATCTGGTTCCAGGGCAGGCCTAGGATGCCTCAGGCCCCCTTGAGATGGGGGATACTGGGCCCCTAAATTCCAGCCCGTTGCCTACGCTGCTTCCTCCATGCTCCTAGACAGAAACTAAACTCTCTTCCAGCCCCGCCCCCAGCCAGGGCAGCATCCACCTTCCTTTGTTTCTCTCCTTGAGGGGTAGCTGGTCGGACAGGTTGAGAGACCCCTTTGCATAATGTCTCACTCCCTGTCCTTCTGGGCCGTGGTACCGGCAGCAGCCAGTGGGGTTACCACAGAGCCAGCATAGAAAGCAGCCCAATACCCCCACTACGTCACACTCCTCTTCTGATTAACTGAAAGCTGGCAGTCAAGCTGTCAGGCTGGGCTGTGTTGAGAGCAGCACAGAGCAGGTTGAATGTAATCCTGGCCACTTTCCTGCTATCCAAACCCAGGCTCTGCCCCCTTCCTAGAGAACCAGTTACGAGTTCATAGCCTGGGGCAGAGCATTTGCTGAAGCATGTTGCCCCGAGGCAGTTGAAAGTGGAACAGCCCAGTATGTACCAGGCCCTGTAACCCAGGGTGCCCAGCTAGTGCCAAATTCGGCTTCCATTGGATCAGCAGTGTGGCTGAGGCGTGTGCGCCGCGGTGCTTTCCTCAGGAGGCAATGGAAGGAGCTCAGCTGGTTTTGAAGAAAGGCCAAAGACTCCACCTGGGAGGCAGAGAAGCACTCCACGCTAAGCCGCGTTAGATCATCTCTTGATGTGGGAGGCCTGTGCGGGGTCGTCGCTGGGCCAGGTGGTAAGTGCAGGGCTGCACGCTCCCGTCTGCTGTGGGAGAGTTGCAGCGAGACCAAGCAGGAAGTCTAGCCTTCCATGCAGTGACTGCAGATCTTTGGCTGGTTCCGTGTCTTGCTCTTGCATTTGGCTTCCTTCCTTTCAGGAGCACTGCCGTTCCTGCCCCTTTCTGTTCTCCACTCCCACCCACCTTTCACTGCTCTTGGCTTTCTCCCCTTTCCGGCAGCAGCCATGTCTTCCGCCTCCCCGGCTTCTCTCCCATGCCCTGCGTCCCCATAGTTGGCCAGTTGTGGCTAATGTCAGCGGAGAGTCAAAGGCTTGACTTGCCCGACAGGCAGGCTTAGGCCCATGTTGCTTTCTGCTCTTGAGGATTTCTACAAACGTTTGTACTGATCGTTCTAAACAATTGGGTTCTAATATCAAAGGGGGGTTGGGTTGGGTTGGGTGTTTTCCCCCGGGGATATATGACTGTGAGGCACAATGAAGGCATCTGGTTTTGTCATTCTTGGAGCACAAAGTTGCCTTCTCTGAACTTTGTCTTTGTTCTGCCAAGAGAAACAAAGCGAGTCTTTTTGCTGCCTTGAAACCTCCCTTGGCTGTTGTCCAGCCTGCCAGGGATTGATTCCAAGATGGCAGCTGTCTCTGGGCTGTTTGTAGCCATTTTAGAAACCGTAAGTCTCATAAAATCCCCCATCTCGGAAAGAATCAAAGCTGGCCTTTTGGTTTTTGGGGTAGGGATGTCTTCCCATGCTTGGCCCTCTGTAGCCCATCAGAAATAAGTAAATACCCCGGAGTCATTTGCTGCATGTTTAATTGAGGAGTTTTAAGAGTCTTGAATTTTGTTGTAAAATAGAAAATCTCAGTACAGTTGAGAATTCACATGTTCTGAATCCACATAGAGTCCTTGGAACAGGCTGCACATGCAGCCACTTGCAGGATTAGGACTCTACTTTTTAAATACAACACATCTGAATTTTTTCAGTAAACAGCAAGATATACCTGAGAACGTAATTGCAGAAACCTGTATTCATGTGGAGTTTGTGATTTAGTTGTATGACATTAAAGTCTGGAAATGAAAAAGTTGAGGCTCTGACACCAATATTATCCTGACTGTTGTCCATAACTTCTTTGTATGGACATGTCAGGTTGGCGGTCGGTTTCTAGTGGAGTGCCCCAAGGATCGGTTCTGGGGCCAGTTTTGTTCAACATCTTGATTAATGACCTGGATGAGGGGATAGATTGCACCCTCAGCAAGTTTGCGGCTGACACTAAGCTGGAGGGAGAGGTAGATACGCTGGGGGGCAGGGATAGGGTCCAGAGGAACCTAGACAGATTAGAGGATTGGGCCAAAAGAAATCTGATGAGGTTCAACAAGGACAAGTGTAAAGTCCTGCAGAAGAGAAGAGTGAGGGGGATTTGAGAGCAGCCTGCAACTCCCTGAAGGGGGATTCCAAAGAGGCTGGCGAGAGGCTGTTCTCAGTAGTGACAGATGCTGAACAAGGAGCAATGGTCTCAAGTTGCGGTGGGGGAGGTCCAGGTTGGATATTAGGAAAAACTATTTCCCTAGGAGGGTGGTGAAGCACTGGGATGGGTTCCCTAGGGAGGGGGTGGAATCTTCTAGAGGTGTTTAAGTCTCGGCTTGACAAAGCCCTGGCCGGGTTGATTTAGTTGGGATTGGTCCTGCCTTGGGCAGGGGGCTGGACTTGATGGCCTCCTGAGGTCTCTGTGATTCTGTTATACTTATGTCATAAGCCATACTGTACTGTCCCAGGAATAAACCTCACTAGAAAACAGTGCAACTAGGCAATGTTGCTCTTCGAACCATAACCTTTTTACCTTTTAACTCTGCAGCCCTTATGTTACAGTGGTTTGCATTTGATTTCTCATGTTTATAGCAAGGAAAGGAAAATACCTGCTGGAGCTTAGCAGCTTTTTCACCTGAATATGTAAAGTCCCTGAAGTAACTTGCTTTGCACATCATGACCTGCTGGTGACGCAGGCCACTAAGCTCCCCTGCAAACTGCAATCTAGAGCCTGTAATCCGTGGGTTGCTGGAGATGTGCAGACTGCCTAAGATTCCCAAAGAGTTCCACGGTGTCCCCCCACATCCTCAGAGGTATCTGTGCTGCTTACTCCCTTTGAAATCAGTGGGAGTGTAACACCTAAATACCCTTGAGGATCTAGGCCTTAGACTCTTCTGAAAATGGGCTTTGAATGCTTCTGAAACTCTTACCCTAGGAGAAATGACTCTTGCGCTTACATGGCCTTCGCCTCCTGCTGCTCTAGGAGGAATCCTGCCCCGGGGCCCTGCAGGCAGCCTGGCCACAATCTAGCCTGGATGAGTAAGAAGGTGAGAATTTCCAGCCGCTGTTGCATTGCCGGGAGCGTTCCTGGAGGCCCCTTAACTCTGTTTCCTGGCAGAAGCAGGGGCATGGCAGGATGAAAGACGTTCTCTGCTTCCTTACCCTTCAGTGGCGGGGGTTTTAAAAGCCTGTACCAGTGTTGTTCCACTGGCAAGCCGGCGAGCAGTTACCCATAGCTGTGTTCCGCAGTCCGAGGAGGAAGGTGGTGACCAGGTACAAACCACACCCTCAGATCCTGCCCAGGTCGATAGGGAAGTGACTGCAAGGCTTAGCTGTTGGGTGTCTGCTCTGAGTGGCCTGGGGGCAGAATTAGAGTCACCATCAGGCTGCCAGCAAAGTTCAGAACTGACTTGAGTCCTGGAGATTTCTCTCCTCCTCTGGAAGTGGTTGCTGGTCATCAGAACTGAAGCATGGTATTGGTGCACTGGGTGGAGAGCTTTCCCAGCTGCTGCCCTCGAGCTGCCACATGCCACCTTTCCTGAGGTCACAGCCTCCAAGGAGAGCCCTGTGCTGTTTAATCCCGGGGGGAGGGGCAGTCCCTCGATTTGCTACAAGAAGCCAGATTCCTGCGTGTCCCGTTCCTTTCTCACAAACTGGCCAACCGTTTAGGCTAAGTCAGAATTCTAACAGATCCATTTCTAACACGCATCCCAAAACCAGACACATTTTTAAAATCTCCTGCGTGTCTGGTTTCGGTGCTTGGAGTGGTGTGCTCATGAAACGACATCACACAGGCAATAATTCCCGGCATTCTGTACTAATAGGAAAACCTGCACTTAGTTGCACATCTGTAGCACATTCTGTGTAAGTGTTTAACAGGCTTGTGCACAGCCCCGTTCCTTACTGCGTTTCTGAGCTGAGGTCGCAGGGATCATGCCGGGGAAAGAACGTGCTGTAATAGTGCAGGGCAGGGGTTCCAAAGTGTCATGGAGATGCAGCCAGAGTGTGGATTTTATTGTGTGTTCTCATTCAATACAGGCAGGGGTCCGTGTGATGTAACCATGCTAAATGGATTTGCCAGGTGTGCCAAGGGGGATGAAGAATGCAATTACATTCACAGCTGCAGTGCTGGATCACAGCTGTCTGTGGAACTTGAATTGTTAGAGCAGTTGTCGAGTTGCATCCCGCGGGCGCGGACTAAAGGAGCTGCGCAGAGGAGAGGGGCAGGGCAGGGCAGGGCTTCGCACTCGACATGGGGAAATAGCCACTGGACTAGAGCGGGACAGAAGGTCTCTCACTGGAATATCAGGAGCACATTTGGAACCGACTGGGAATCGGTCTCCACTACCCCAAGTGCCCTGCAGCTGCTTCCCCGACTGCACTGTTGTCGGGACACCTCTCGAGCCTCGCCCAGATCAGTGCCGACTTTGCTGGTTTCCTTTCCCTGCAGTTTTTCACAAAGTACGGTCCTGATTACGTGCTGGAGATCACGCCGAGCTGCCGGCCAGACCGCAACGAGCCACACAGAGTCCAAGAAATCCTCAGCACCATCAAAGGTGAGCTTCCCCCTGCCCTGGGAGACAGACCACTGGGTGCTGGGAAATGCAAACCGGTCCGTCAAAGGGGAGACCACTTCTCTTGGTGTCTGCACGGCCCTGGCTAGGCAGCTGACCTGCATGTGCCTGACGTGCTAACATACAAGGCAGCCTCCTTCCGCCCAGCATTGGAGGTGGTAACAGGCTTGTTGTGAAGTGCAAAAGACCTCCAGGCAGGACCTTGCGCTGTGGTCTGTGGCCCATGGAATGCTGAAAAATCCAGTCCGCTGCCGTCGTTCGCGTGCACACGGGGAGGCAGCAGCAGAGACCCGGCACTTGTTCAGCTTTCGTTGTTTACACCGGTCTGCGGCTGCTGCGCCAGCACAGACTGAGTTACCAGCCGAGCAGGCTCATATCTCCAGCAGAGCATCAGCCAAGCAGAATGAGTTTAGGCCCCCAAAGGCAAAGGTGTGGGCTCTGCTGGATTAACAGGATGTGTCCAGAGCCAAGGGCCCCACAACGCCCCCTCCTGTGCGCACAGCTCACAAGATGCCCACTTCTAGCCACATTTCTTGAATTCATTTCAGCTGCTTATGGGGAAGGGTGGGCCAGGCCCAGCTGCTTAGGTGAGGCTAGAGTGTGGCTCTTCCTTGGAGTTCCAGATTCCACTGCCATGCTGCACTAGGAGGAACTGAGTGCTACCGAGACACTCCCGGCTCTGGAGGGAGGTTAGGGCTTCCTGCTCCTGTTTTCTTTGTAAGTATTGTGATTGGGTACGGGATCCGTTTAACCCTCCTGCCATGCTGCGGGGAACACAAGCGGAGCAGTTTAGTGTTACTGCCTGAGCTCTAAGTGGATGGCAGAACCGCAAAAGTGAATTGGACCTTAGTGTTCAGTGTTAACGATCGGGTGTAGAGCTGGAAGCACTAGGAAAGTTGTGTTCAAACGCCCAGTGTCAGAGGTGTGCGCTGGACTCAGGTGCACCACACAGGCCCACAAGAAAACAAGGCATTTGATTCTTGGATTAGTGCTGATGCTGGTTTGTAAGAAAGGGACGTCTGCGAAGCAGAGACTGTCGTGTTCTCGTGTGAACACACAGCTGCCAGCCAATCCTGCCAGGGAGATAGGTGAGGCTCCCTACAGTGGTACGTGGCAGGTCACAGGAGTTGAGGACTATGTCTGAAGTAAACGGGGAACAGATTCTTCTGCCTCCTGTATGGTGTGTAACACTGACGCCCGCAGACGGGAGTAGAGTCTGTCTTTGGGACTGGCTTGGCGTTCCGGAGGTTTACGATTACCCCTGTGGAGTGACAACCACTTCTCCTCGGTGGGGGGAGGGGAGGCAGGAAGAGGTGTGCCCCTGTACTGCACATGATAAATCACTCAGAAGGTACGCCGGAGGCACGGGCCTTTGTGGGAGAGACAGGGGCGTCCTTAATAGGAGCCATGTGCCAGACCGGATTCAGATGCCTGTGTCTGCACTCGAAATGAAAGCCTGCTAGTACTGAGGTTGCACTAGGACGGGACGGCTGCCTCGAGCCTGACCTGGAAATTGGTGCGGTTGATGCTTCAAGGCGTTGGTTCAGAATAACGCCTGTCGAGAGGGTGGAGCACGGGGCCGTGTGCTAGGGTTGTATTGCTAACCGGCTGTAAGAGCACTCGGGAATGGATTCTTGCTGCCAAGCTCACACGGGCATCTCTGCCAGCAGAAGTGATGAGAGATGGAGGGCAGGCTCGCTACCCTGCGGACAGAAAAACGGTGTGTGCATGGCCTGGGTCTCGCTCGTCACAGGGTATCGGTGCTGCCCGTTGCCTGGGGGAAGGGGAGAAGTCTCTTCGCTCGCTGCTGCGTGTCCAGCTTAGTACAGACCTGCAGGCTTAGTAGCAGTTCAGACCGGATGGGTGGAGGAAAGTGCTTTGGGCTTCAGCCCTTTCTTTAGGTGTTCTCCCTTCCCAGCCAAAGCCCAGCTGCTCTCCGGGGGCTGCTCACGTGCAGGCGCTGGGGCAGCCCTGGGGGGGGGCTGCATGTGGCAGGCCCGGCTGGGGAG